ATTTCTTGTACAGATGAGGGACTGAAATCCACATTCCAGTCTTCGTGTTCAAAGCTTAAAAGTTAGAAAGCAAACTCTGGTCCAACAGAAATGTTTCTCGCGAATAAGAGACACAGTTTTACAAATTCCCTGGCTTCTGACCACATTTCAGAACTTAGGCAAAGGCACTAGGCACATCTGGACAGATTTGCCATACTCCTTGGAGTCTGACTTTCCAGTTTCCACAGGGGAAGGTGGTAGTCTGTCATTCTAGGCCAACGCATGGTCACCAATGAGCTTAGGGGCACATGTCCCTGCTCACCCAGTCAGAGATGCTGTGAAAAGGCATCACAGCAAGGACACCTGTCAGCACAGATGGGAGACCCCAGAGGTTATTTTAAAACACACATAGCTCCTTTCTAGAAAGGAAAGGGGGTGAGTGGACAGTAACTCAGGAATACTAACTTAAAATTTTTTCGAAAACCATATTCTACATACAGAACCCACTGAAGCTTGCCTATGAACTTATTCCCAAAGAGAGAACTCAGCACCATTTGAAATTCTTGATAGAGTGAAGTTTCACCTGGAAAGACAGCTGCAAAATGCATTGCAACACATCACAAAGACCTCCTCGCTGGACTTGTGTACTGTTCCCACCTTGGCAGCCACCACAACAACCCTGACTAAACCCACCCTTCTCCCTATTTTATGCAGAGGAAAAGCCACAGACTTGATGTTGGCCTACAAGGCACTATCTGACCCATCCGACATGACCTCTCTGTGATCTCATCTCCCAGAACATTTCTGATAATCCCTGAACAGGTCAAGAGCAGCACCAGCTGTTCCCTCTGCCAAAAAAGCTCTTTCCCACCGAGCCCCAGGCTCCTCTCCGACCTCCTTCAAGCCTCTGCTTTGAATCCACCCTCCTGCGCCCTCCCACGCCCAGCTTCTTTGAAATCGCAATTCCCCTCTCCATCCCCAACCCTGCTCTATGTTCTCCCCTCTAATATTTTCAAATCCTGCCATTCTTATTGAAATCTTTAAAAGAATTCTTCATCTTCCTCCAATGCGTAGCTCTCTAAGGACCCGATTTTTTGCCTTTTATTCCCTGATGCCATCACTAGTGCCTAGACACGCTGTAAATACCGCTGAATGAACTAATGTCTCCTGACAGCTTCCTGTTTCTACCTGCGTCCTCCCACAATCTCTGCATGCATTTGACATTCATCTTAAACCTATGTCTGTATTTTGTAATTAATGTAGAGGTCTTGTCATTAAAGGCTTTTGGGGAAGTAGAACAGACACGCCTCCCCCTTTTTATACTTCAATAGCCAAGGAGTATGGTTAGTGATACAGACCACGAAGAACTGGATATTTCTCTAAACAGTTTGACAGCCAAAAGTCCTACAGCAGGTATAAGATATCCGTACCGTGGGGCTGGATTCAAAATTGTCATGGTTCTAAAGTAACCAGCAGAGCCTCAGAATAGCAGCCGGTATAGGACTGCACAAATGCCAAGTAATTTATCCTCAACTTTTCTTTCTAAAAGCTGATCAGATTTGCACCTGCTCTAATACCTCTGGTTGAGAAAAATATCCTTTGGAAGCAGAAAGCCGCTGTTACTCGAAGTGGAGTCTGGCTGAGAGAGTGGAGTTTACATTCCATCGTCGGCCAGATCCTTACCCCGTGGAATGTCTGAGAACAGGATTCAGGCCACGAAGAGGTCGGCAGCGCTTCCACCAAACACGACTTCAGGGAATTAAACCTTCTACATCGACTTATACATTATACGTGTCCCTTACACATCATATATTAGTTTTCAAAATCTCCTTCCCACTCCCAGGGGCCCAGCTCGAGGCACCTGGATGGAAGAATTCACTGCCAGGCATAATTGCTAAGCTAGGCCTCCATCACCCCATGTGACTAACTCGTTTGCTTACACACTCACTGCTCCCTCCGTGGTGAACAGCGACCTTGCGGTGGGGGCAGGGGGAGGATGTGTGATCCTACAGACAACAGGTCTACCTCAATCTCTGTATGCACCCGGGAAAAGGGAAAGCATGGCGTCAAGACTGTTGGCTGGGGGTGAAGGGTCCCACACCTGCAGAACCAGCTGATCTCACAGAGGCCCCGCTTCATCTGAATCTTTCCATGCGGGAGGACTGTGACTAAACAGACCTGCGTGATCAGAGCATCCTTGGCCTTGAGCGGCCACAGACTCTAATGAGGTCAGAGCAACCTGCGCAGCCCGCTTCCAGGTGCACAAGCATCAGCTCCACAACTCCGCCCCACCGCCCTGCTATTCGGGACTCTGAGGTTCTGGGCCAGGACCGGGGATCTGCTCTTCAGGACACCTCGGGAGACACACGCGCAGGCCACGCTTGGAGAAACACCATCTCTCAGCCTCCACCCAGCTATTTCAAAGCCTTGTACTCAGTAAAGACTTGAAAAAACACAAAACACAAACTCCCAAGCCATCTGAATTCATCTTCACCACCTTCAATCCATGTTTGCAGACAGACTGCCTCCACTGCCGATCTTCTAGGTTCTTAGATCTCAGTAGGAAAAGCTTCAGGCAAGCTAACGTTATCTTAACCCAGACTTTGGAGGCTAACGATTTAAAAAAAGAAAAATGATTCAGCAGCCACATACGCTGTGCGGAGCAAGGACCATTCCATCCTCCAGAGGATTTTCTTTCGCGAAAGCTGTGCCAGTCCGGTCCCGGGTGTCAGGACACGGCATTATCAGCTACTCCCAGGTTAAAAAGTGAGAACAGCGAGAGGCGCCACAGGCCCTGCGCTCCTTCCAGCCGCTCCCAACATCTCCTTGGAATGGAGAGGCGGTTCACACAAGGTGACAGGGATGGCCCTCGAGCTGCTTGGCACAGGCCAGCCTCCACTTAACGAGTGCTCAGAATCACACTCAGCATGGAGAAATTCACCCTGACCCTGGACACTTGCCCCCTGGCATCCACTCACTTACATTTTTACTCAATTACTATTTCTAAGAACAGAGACCAAAAAAAAAAAAAAAAAAAAAAAAAAAAAAAAAACCCACCCCCCCCCGCCCCGCGGTCTTGTGTGGAAGGGCTGAAAGGGGTCCGCAGGCCTGGAGGCCGGGTGGGGCGGAGGAGCCTGGCGCTGTGCAGGATCTCCGTGGAGTTCGTGCTCTCTTTCCCTTCCACGCCCTCAGAGACACTCCTGATTTTCCCAGACTCGCTGAAGAGCATGGTGGGTTTCCAGTGTGTTTTCACCAAAGAAAGAAGGAGGCTTGCAACCATGAAATGACCGAAAATAACCCCAAGCGAGGAGTGTCTGAGAAGAAAAACCACCCAGAGAACGATGGTAGGCCTCTCGACTTGTTTACTAGGGGAAGAAAAGATGAAAAGGAAATGAATCCAAAGTAGTCACTAAGACAATTATAAAAATTAATGAGACGGGATTGCCAAGGGAAGGCAAAAGGAAAGCCAGAAAGCCTGGGGGCTCTCTGGTCTGGTGGAGGGCATCGAGGCCAGACCTGAATTCGGATTCTGGCTCTGTCCTCCCCCTACCCTCCACCCCTCGAGTGCTATGACCGGGCACAAGGTATTTTCCTGTCCAAGCCCCAGTTTCCTGACACGTGGGGATGGTCATCCCAGCCGTCCCCGACCCACCAGCATGGGGAGGACGGGACGCTGCATCTGTACGTGCCAGGGACATAGGAGGGATTCAACAAATGTTTTCCTTCTCTTGTTCCCTTCCCTTTTCTTTTCCAAAAAGCTAGTGGGAAAAACACCAGACAACTAAATCCTTGGTTTAGATAGTGAAGTAAAATATAAACGTAGAGGTTGAAAACAAAATAATAATCTGTCTCACAAAAGGGAAATTTAAAAGCATAGATTAAACCTTTTACTCTTTATTCACATAGCGACTTCTAGCCACTTTGTACATGAAAATAAATGTATATTCCCAATAGAATCTGTTCTTTTTTGAGGAAACCCAGCTTAAACCACTGTAAATAAATGACTTTAATCCTTTGTTCCTTGATTCCTAAGAAGCAAGGTTAGGCATGGTAAATTGTACAGTAGGCTATCCCAGTAAACTAGATATCTACTAAGGTAATAAAAACATTTCTTTTGTCCATATCTGGGACCTTTGCCCACACTTAGCATCAGTATAATGTGAACCTTCTTGGGGTCTCAAAAATATGAGTGAACCACAAGGCCGGGATTATGAGTCTATTTCATTTCTTCTTGAACATGGATCAGGGAACACTGGACCCCTGAATTCTTACATATCAGGATCACTAAGTCCTATCTTTGCTGTGATCTCACTGCTCAGCATACAGTAGGGACTCAATAATAGCTGACTGAATTGATTAATGCTCCGAATCAGAAAGCATGGAGACCTCGGTCTTCAGTGCTCCTCAGCCTGGCATGTGGCACTGGCTCCGAGGGGTTTGCACTCAGGGCTCAGTGGCGAGCTCCCAGGGCCAGTCAGCCAAAGGCTTGCCCCATGGCAATCCATTCTCATGCCACCCAGAAGGTCACAAATAATGGCAGCGTTCCCACAGGCCTCCCTCCAGACCTTCAAAGGAAAGAAAAGCTCCTTCGTCCCCTTTGGTTCAGTACGAGAAACATTCATTGAGCAACTACTGTATGCCAGGCATAAGAACATAGATATTAAAAAAGAAAGACACCCAGAAAGGACCCCTGACAATCTGGCCACACTCGCTCAACCCTCCAGAGATCATCGACCATGGGGGGCGGTAGGGGAGAGCGGGGTCAGCAGATCCGTATTTCAAACCCCACATCACTCCCGGAACACAGATCTCATGTACCCGCAACCCCTTCTTGCACATACGGCCATCAAATCGTCATTTACGGACTAAAAATTTGGGGCACCTTTGTGACTGTTCAGCTCCAAGGCTGCATTCCCGAATTCTCTTTGGCCTCTGACAAGTTCCCCCACAGGAGACAGACACCGAAGATGGACGTGATAGCACTACGTCAAATGAGGTATAAAGCAGACAAATGTACTCACCAGGGTACCCACAGAGCACCTGGGACGGCCTGGCGCACAAGCTACCCACTGAGCCAGAGGGCGTTGTAACAACTGGGCAGACAGCTAGGAGTTTTAAAAAGCACAGTCATTAGCTATTTTACTGAGGTGATGCCTTGCACAGAGCTATACAAAGATTCAAAGTCGAAGCTGGCTCTCCGAAGGCACTCATTCCCCCACACACAGAAGGTCCCCCCTACTCGGGGACCAAGGATCTAGGAGGGATTCTGGATTCTGCTCCCAGATCTCTCAGCATCCCTTAACCACCAGTCAGGCTCCTGAATTCCGTTTTCCCTTTAACACGCTCTAGCCTCAAAATCGCAGTGTACAATTTATACACAGAAATGGTAAAATAAATACCATGACTTATGTCAGAGATGAACAGGCCTTGACCTCCTTGGACGAAAGACAGCCTACCAATGATGATGAAACCCCCAAGTTTCGTTTGGTTGGCCTAGATTTCGGTTTCCTTAAAACACCTGTCATCCTTCCGAACCCTCACATGAAAACCCCTTGAATAGGTCAAGAATACAAGTGTATCTTAGTTGGGTGCTGCTGGGCGACAGTTTAAACATCTAGGTCTGCTCAGGATAGATTAAACATTATCTCCCATCATAGTTATTACCCCGTGAAATTTTGAACTTTTTTTCTTTAAAATAATGGCAATGACATCTTGTATATTGCCTGCCATATTCTTAGAAAAAGAAAATACACCAAAAAATACGTGCAATGGAAGAGAAAACACTGCTGGGTGTTCTATCTGAGGTTGAGTTGATGACAAATACAGGATTTCTGCATAATAAGATGCACGTTGGAGCCCCTGCTCTCGTCACCGGCTTCCCGTGAGTCTTTGAACAAGGGCCTCGATTCACCCAGCCCTTGGTTTCTACACGAAGCACACATCAAGCTACCCCTGGGGGTTTTTAGACAATCACAGTGAGATGATATATTTAAGAGACTGGCAAATAAGAGGCGATCAAGGGATGTAATAACATTAGTTATGTAACTAATTTGATAGACACACCCTTGACTGGCTTCCAGGCCTGGGGTGAATGTACTTCTTCCCTAGCGCCTTACATGGATTTAACCTCCATGCACCTGCCATTTGTCTAGGGCATGTCTTCCAAAGGTAGCCCCGTCCCTCTGCAAACCAGACTTGAAAACTTCTTTTGACAAAAGACAAAAGGCCTTGTGGAGTCCTCTGTTTGTTCCTTTTTGGGCAGATTTGTGCCTTTTATCTCTTGATTTGAAAATGGACAAGGAAGCCCTTTTGCATAGCCTGTAACTTACCGTCTCCAACATTGAGTCCACTAACAAGATCCTCCCCCCCTTCCCTGGGGCATGCTTTCATGCCTCAGTGGGACACATCTCCTGGTCAGAAGTCTGTGTCACTGGGACCATGGGGCCCTGGATGGCCTGCTGAGGTGTGGACGAGGAAGGTCCCCTCATGGCTTTCTGTACCATGCTGCTCTCACATTGCCACCATATGCTGTTACCAACCGCCATCTGCTCACATATGTTCTCACCAAGAAGTGACCATGTTGTTTATTTTTAGAGGCTCTCCACAGCCTTAACCCGGAGCAAATTCCCTCAAAGAACCAGTCAGCAAAGACAGGAAGCTGCACTGGGTATAAACTGTCACAAGATTAGCAAGTCAAACAATATCTTCTCATTCATATCTGCCCTCTAACAAGAGACACTGGAAGTTATCTTAAATAAAAATCTCAAAGAATGCAACCAGGGAAAGGCAAAACAGGCAGAGGAAGCCGCTTTGTGAGCAAAGCTTTTGCTTCAAACTATGGCCCTGTGCGGTTCTTGGGGGGATTTCACTCCTTTTCCTGGGAAACAGCACCTTCTTCAGGCCAGTGGATGTTGTGGTGCAGAGGAGGGACGGTTCTAGTAACAGAATCCAGATCCCTGAGTTTGCTCGGGGTCACACAGGTCAAAGGAAGTCTGGGTGGGACCAAGGCCAGGTAACTATGGTCATTTGCAATTTCCACCAAGCAGGCCTCAAGTATGCCCCTTTGGTTTACTTTTACTATGCCATAAAGCTGCAGTATTAAATCCTTTTTCTCCGTCCTTTTTTGTGTGTGTGTGGGGGGGTGTTTGTTTGTTTGTTTGTTTGTTTAAGCAGGGCCAAGAAAGGGTGCCCCGGTGCTGACCCAAGGCCTCACAAGTAAAGACCATGAACAGGGTAGAGATATTAGTGATGCTACAGTGATTATTTAGGCCAAAGAAAGCAATCCTTCGTTTTTTCACAGATGGATTTCAACAGTCTATAGGAGTCAAGGGGCATCATGGTAGGAATACACTTTTGTAGATCAGTAGGCTTCGGTGGATGTGAAATGCTTGATAAAATGTGAAAAGCTACAAAAATCCAAGACAATTCGTTTTTTTTTTTTGTTCGTTTGTTTGTTTTTTTAAGATTTTGTTTATTTGACAGACAGAGACCACAAGTAGGCAGAGAGGCAGACAGAGAGGAAGGGAAGCAGGCTCCCTGCTGAGCAGAGAGCCCGATATGGGGCTCGATCCCAGGACCCTGGAATCATGACCCGAGGCGAAGGCAGAGGCTTTAACCCACTGAGCCACCCAGGCGCCCCAAGACAATTTGTTTTAAAGAAATAACCCTTTTTTAGAAGTACTTGGACATTCACTAACTGATCATGGAGGACGACCACTCGCAGAAGTCATAAGACAGAAAGGACCCTGGAATTAAAATTTTGTATGGGTAACTTACAAAATGTCTAAAAGACTATGATATTAACTGCAGAAGTTCTGAGGTTCATTTTGCCTGGGATGACACAGCTAAGAAACAAAGCAATGAAACAAAATAAAAACGCACAGTGTTTCTAGAGCGTCTTTCTGAACTCCTGCCTAAGAACCACCTGGCCTTGTCATCAAGGTGCAGGTTTCTGCAGCCCACCTGAAAACGACCGAATCACAATCTGGATGGAGGCTAGGAGACAAGGATTTGGGAATCCGCGTTTATAATAAGCACTACTGGTGATACAGGGAATTTTTTTCATGGTAAAATTTGAGAATCTGTGTTATAGGCTTCTGTGACTTACAGTTTCAAAAAGGCCTTTTATTAAAATGAAATCAGAGAGGGAGACAAACCACAAGAGACTCAGCTTTAGGAAACATCAGAGTATTGCTGGAGGGGAGGTGGTGGGGGAATGGGGTAACGGGGTGACGGGCATTAAGGAAGGCATTTGATGGAATGAGCACTGGGTGTTATTCGCAACTGATGAATCACTGAATCTACCTCTGAAATTAGTAAGACACTACATGCTAATTAATCAAATTTAAATAAGATAAAATAAACTTTTTTTATTTTTTTTTAAGATTTTATTTATTTATTTATTTGACAGAGAGAGATCATAAGTAAGCAGAGAGGCAGGCAGAGAGAGGAGGAAGCAGGCTCCCCGCTGAGCAGAGAGCCCGATGTGGGGCTCGATCCCAGGACCCTGAGATCATGACCTGAGCCGAAGGCAGAGGCTTTAACCCACTGAGCCACCCAGGCGCCCTAAATAAACTTTTTTTAAAAAGGCCTTTTACAAAATCTCACTTGACCTCGAGGCTACCCAATTGTTCTGAGTAAGTAGGGGTTTCGTGTCGTGTGAAAGTGTCTATAAGATAGTGATAAAGGCTTCCTCACTGCAGTGATATCGTAAACATTATTAAATGCCATTACTGATGCTCCAGTAAACTCAGTGTCAGATCAGTCCCTCCTCAACTCCTCCAAACCTTCCCTACAAACATTTCTCTCGGGACTGTCCATCCGTGGACATCATTTCCTCCCAACACAAACTACAATAAGCTTCTACTTAAAAAAAAATACAAATAAAAATAAGCTTCTACTTTACTTAGAGAATTCCCAGCAAATGCTACTGAGAAAGGGCAAGCTGCTGATCCTGAACATATAATGACCCAGGGTCAGCTTGGCTCAAGACCGACCCTCCTTCTAGAATCTGGATGCCAGCGCTAAAGAATTAATGAAATTAGACATGACTCTCTCCACAAGCTCCACTGCTGATGGTGATATTTTGTGACAGCGGATTTCTTCTGAAACATGTCTCTCTCCAAGACAGGCTAGCACCAGTCACCTCATTCTAGGGCTCATTCTAGGTGGGGAGAAGAGCTTAGTGGATGAAACAGCCCCAGTTCCAGATGTAGTTCATAGGTCTGACCAGTAACTTCCATCAACACACTTAACAACCCAAGGCTTTCTACTGTGAGGAGGGACAAATGAATGACTAAATTATTATTCAAATCAATATGATTTTTCAGCAGACGTATCTACAGATGAGAACGGATGCTTCAGAACCCGAGGAGTCAGCCAAAATCCAGCTTTGGTTCTGCTCAGCTACTTCCAGTTAAAGCTAGGAACTCCGGCCCACTCCCACCTCTGTCCTTTCTCATTACCATCCAGAGCCCCAGATGCAGAGGTATGAGCTTGGATGTAGAAACGTTTCCCCCCAGAAAGCCCAAACAGGCTCAGAAGGGCAGAAGGGGCCGTTCCTTTACCAAATCACTGATCTTTGGTGGGGAGGGGGGAGAGGGGAGTCCTCTGTCTGTGATTTTTTATTTCTCCTTCTAAAGTGGAATCTGAATAAGTCACCCATACTTTTGGGTGCTTGCCCAGCCAGCAACTTACTTGTAAGAGCTGATTATAAAGCAAGTAGCAACAACTTCAATGGTATTATCACTAAGATGTCAAAGCAGAAATGAAAATGAGATTAAGCCAATAGATGATAGGAAAATAAATGACCAAAGAAGAACCAAACCCCCCAATGGAAGGAATGACAAAGCCCCTGCTGCATCTGGTATAGAGAAAATAATCTCTGATGATTTGGGTCTAAAAAAGCATTGAGGGGCGCCTGGGTGGCTCAGTGGGTTAAGCCTCTGCCTTCAGCTCAGGTCATGATCCCAGCCCGCATCGGGCTCTCTGCTCAGTGGGGAGCCTGCTTCTCCCTCTCTCTCTGCCTACTTGTGATCTCTGTCAAATAAATAAATAAATCTTTAAAAAAATAAAAAAATAAAAAAGCATTGAATTTCCAACACTG